AGTGAAGAATCCTGCACTGACACCTGTCGGATATAAACCAATACTCTTAGTGGTATTAGCCACGTGAGTAGTTGTTTTTCTGATAGGTGTCAGTCCATTAACCTATAGTGTAGGGAGCTGAGACTGTCCTGAACGAATTGTTCCTTTAGATGATTTGATTTATAGCCAGTCTTCAAGTTTGCCGACCGACTATTTGTGAAAACTCAAATTTCATTCCTGCATGCGATAACTGGCCGCATACATCAGCAATTTTCAATACTAAAAACACTGCAGCATCTAAATTGCTTGAAAAACATAACGATTGTATTGATAATGCAGAAGTATTAAAAACAATAACTCTTCTGTAGACGCCATCATCAAGAACGGCATTTGTTTTCTACTTGGTAAACGTCAGGGGTGGCCAAGAGGTCGATCGCGATCATAAATTTAATTTTTCAAGGCTGGCAATTTCCAACTACAAACCTGATTCAGCTATGCTAGCGGAAAATACTCAAACGCAATGTTCACACTAATATAAATAAGTAGTTACGAAAAATAATTTTCACTTTTATATTTTTCCTCTTGATAAAATGAAAAAAATACATGTCTACTTCTCGGGAACATTTTGTCATAGAGCAGTGTAAATCAAAACCTCTTAAGTCGGTTTTCAACAAACCTGGTCAAATTCAGCAACTCAAAATCTAATGATCAACATATAAAAGTTAATTATGCATTACTCACCTTATATATCAATAAAAACTCACTTTCTTTATTATTTAGTAGAATTTAAGACACTATTCGGTTGAAAATCGCGGGCACTTTCTTGAACAACGATGGCCGAATTCAAAACGCAGACTTGGAAGCTTTTGACGCATGACATTGTAACGCAACGACATAGAAGGTTTCACTATCGTCCAATAGATGTCGCTATCATCACTCAGGATGATAACGACATCTTTTACAGCATAGTAAACAATGATATTTTAAATATATTTGTATCAAAACCTTGTAAACACCAAAAATCAGACTTAGGAGGTTTTGAAAGTAAGCCGACGATATGCAGGAATAACTTCAGTGAAGAATCCTGCACTGACACCTGTCGGATATAAACCAATACTCTTTGTGGTAGTTGTTTTTCTGATAGGTGTCAGTCCATTAACCTATAGTGTAGGGAGCTGAGACTGTCCAGAACGAATTGTTCCTTTAGATGATTTGATTTATAGCCAGTCTTCAAGTATGCCGACCGACTATATGTGAAAACTGAAATTTCATTCCTGCATGCGATAACTGGCCGTATACATCAGCAATTTTCAATACTAAAAACACTGCAGCATCTAAGTTGCTTGAAAAACATAACGATTGTTTTGATAACGCAGAAGTATTAAAAACAATAACTCTTCTGTAGACGCCATCATCAAGAACGGAATTTTTTTTCTACTTGGTATACGTCAGGGGTGGCCAAGAGGTCGATCGCGATCATAAATTTAACTTTTTAAGGCTGGCAATTTCCAACTACAAACCTGATTCAGCTATGCTAGCGGAAAATACTCAAACGCAATGCTCACACTAATATAAATAAGTAGTTACGAAAAATAATTTTCACTTTTATATTTTTCCTCTGGATAAAATGAAAAAACTACACATTGTATACTAAACTATGCTGTTTCATTTAAGATTTCAAAATATATGTAATTGATATATCGCACAGGGGGTTTCGTCAGTAAACAGTAGATATTTGATCTCATCAAGCCAGCCACCCCTGATATACATGAATCTCCAATCGAAGTAGAATCGATAGACGGGTATAGATTTTTGAATTTNTTGCACTGTGGATTTCGGGTTTAATAAATAAGTCCATGTACTATTCAATTCTTTTTGCGACTATTTTTCCTCTATACTTTCACAACATAGAGAGATGATTACAAACAACCACACCACTTACACAGAAACGTCTGAAACCAGTAGCGATTCCTAGCAGGCTTCTCATCTCGTATATCTGATGACGTCATGCCCTTTTTCGCTGAACCGTTTTTTTGGGCTGTTATGTGCCGATTTCATTTTTGGTACTGTTCCAACGGTTCACCCGGTATCTGTAGATTCCAACGTGCAGGAAAACGAAATTCGACGGAGAAGAGTAACCAGTAGTGTCCGTTTGCCCGGAAGCATCGATCAGATCGTGTCGACCCGAATTGGAGATCCTTTCTCTTCGTCTTCATGCAATTCACCGCTGACCAATAAAATAGAAATCTCTTCTAATTGGTCGTCGGCGAGTCTTCGGACCTAATGACACAGTAAAAGTAATCGAAAGGAGATTTACTGTTGTTTGTTTCATTGGTACATCGGTACGAGATTGCAATCTCCATATCCTCCTTCGATCTGATTCAGTCTCATGCTTCTTTTACAAGTACAAATCATTGACATGCCAATTGTATGCTGTAATATTACTTGTGTAAATGATTGAATTATTTGAAGGTCGTTTCTTTAATTAACTTTGTTGTTTGATATGAATGTCTTTTTTATGTTTTACTCTCAGATTTTGAATGTTTTTTATGGACAAATATTTGACAGCTCTTGCTATGGAAAGAAATGGGAATTGAATCCAGACTTCATTTATTGGCTGTACACAATGGTGGTTACAACTATGATATGATATGCTCATTTAGCTTGGTGGCCAAACATGCAACAAACTAAGCAGGTTGCAAAGGCTTGTTTATACATGATGGCCCATTAGTGTGAGGAAGTACCCACAGGATGTTTCAAATTCGATCCTCACCATTGGGATCTCGGAAACTATNACACCATCTGGATGCCGAAGAGACGTATACTTACTCTCTCCGCGGCAAGTATCAGCACAAACTTCGGCAGATCTGGTTATCGGAACTGTCGGGGAAGAACAAAGTTGCTGCAACAAATATGCTTGCCGTTCCAATCTTACTCTACTCGTTTGGAGTAGTGGAATCGAGAGAAGCTGTATCAACTCGACAGAAAGACCTGAAAAATGATGCATCTATATAGGAGCTATGCGACCGTTACCACATCGCCTTTGACAATGTCTGCCGCAGTAGTAGACGAAACGTCAGGCATAAAAACCCGCGGATCACGAGCAAAAAATCCCGGAAATAACTTCGTCGTGGTAATTTCCGTTCTAGGGCCAGACGTATGGAATAATATAATCATTTTGAGAAACGGTGTTTTATATAGGTGTTGGATAGTTTTATGTTGTATATCAGACATGTTTTTTCTTATATAGGTTGTTTCAAAAGTTTTGTCTCCTTTTTGAGTCTACTTTAAACTGTAATATCTCAGTGAATTCTCATTCAATTCAATTGAAATAACATGAGTCGATTAATTCCGTTTGCTCAAGATTCGATAAAGTCGACAAAGGCCTTTTTTGCCTGGCCCTGATTGGCGAAGGTTTTACCAGTGCTGGCTGCTGCTGACGCAACTTCCTCACAATAGGACTCTGCTGTGACTGTTTGTCCTGGTTGCAGAAAGTTACAATGAATCACACCAGCCGCTGACAACCATACAGTCTCGCGTTTGAGAAGTGGCTCATCGGTGTCCAACCACTGTCCTGGAGATCTCTTGTTGTAGTCAATCAAAATTTCATCACACTTGATGATCCGATGCAAAAATGATCGTTTTTTATACGTATGTTACTTAGCTTGTCTTATGGGTGCTTAATGACAAAGCACGTTTGAATTTTAATAGATTCATTCAACTCGAGACACAAATTATAACATGAAATGCAAATTATCAAGAAATTAAGTAGCGCTGCTAATAGTCTACTACCCGAGTCCCGAAGATCGGGGTGCTAGGAACGTCTCTCTCCTCTCGACACTCACAGAGCCTGACTTGGGATGGCCGAAACATACTCCCCGCCTTGAAAGAACCTCCTTTCAGTTACTAATGGGCAATGGAAAGATTCTCTGAAAACCTCGCTTGATAATGCCAAAGGACGCTACTCTACTGATTCCATCAGGACCTGGATGTAGTGAAACAACTCTTCCTACTTGGTCCTGTATTGTCCTCCTTGATGAGGACTAGGGTTCCTTCGGCGAGTTCTCTCTGCGTTTGCTTCCAACGGCTACGCAGCTGCAACTCGGAGAAATATTCTACCATCCATCGTTGCCAGAAATGTTGGCACATCTGCTGGAGGAGCTGATATCGATTGAGACGATTGATTTTCAAGTCGGTCACGTCGTGGTCTGGTACTACTACCATGGGCTTACCAATTAGGAAGTGAGCCGGAGTTAAAGAACTATAATCGTTAGGGTCTGAGCTGAGGGGTAAAAGAGGTCGGGAGTTTAAGATAGTCTCTATTTGCGCGTACACAGTACAAAATTCTTCAAAGCTGAGAGGAGTTTCGGAAATTACTCTTTTGAGATGATGCTTGCAACTTTTCACTCCGCTTCCCATATTCCACCAAAGTGAGGGGATGAGGTGGTATAAATTGCCATTCGATAAGCTTGTCTGAGGCAAATGCCGAAACATCGTCATACATACCTTTAGATTTTAATAAATTACCTAGCTCTTTTTTGGCACCTACAAAAGTGGTGAGATTATCAGAAAGCATTTCACTTGGTTTACCTCTTCTGGATACAAAACGGCACAGAGCTCGTAAAAACGCCTCAGAAGATAAACTTGATATAATCTCAAGGTGTATAGCCTTAGTCGCAAGACAAATGAATAATCCTATGCAACATTTACTTGTTCTACAACCGCGTCCCATCCTATCTTTAATAATGAAGGGTCCCGCGTAGTCCACACCTACTACTAAAAATGGACCTGATGATGTAACCCTAAAATTGGGAAGGTTACTGAAAATGATTCCTGTTTAGAAAAATTTTGTTTGACTGTGATATCTTGCTATGTTGAAAGTTGAAAAGTTGAATGATAAAAATATATATTCGCTTACATTTGCTAGATTGATTTTGATATATTTTCAAATCTGATTATTTCAACTCTTTTGTACTATTTTGCCTCCCAAATAAACATATAATTAGAAAAAATTACACATCTCAGAAATCATTCGTTATATTACTCCACATTGGTTGTTGCACACAAAAAATTTTCAAAATCGGCACCTATGATCCCAGTAGTAGCTTTAATATTATTGTTATGATGTTCAGAAATATCACTGGAACTGAAAAAAAGATACAAAGAAATTCAGAATATCTCTGTTTTTCTGCAGTTACTTACACTTCGCTATGGTCGATATTGAATGAATCAGATTGAAAACCTGCATTTTTGCTTCATTTTCCTCCATCAACAGATTTGTCTTACTATGTTTCGAATCAACTGAAAGTAATCAATTTGAGTATTGAAAAAATATACTTGCAATTCTAGTTCCATTCTAGTTTTTATAAAAGGGCCAAGTTATTCCATAAAACATTTATTTAATGGCTGAATTATACACCAAATACTGGTAAAGGAACTTTGTTTCAGATGTCTTGTCCAGATGGGCTGCTGGGAAAAACTACTGAGCACTGATGTATCTGGCCAGTGCTTTCAACTCATAGCTGAAGAGACAGCAACAAATTCCGGACTGCCTTTGACATTGACCTCTTTTCCTCAAGTCGAGTGGACTGAAGTCAGAAACGGAGAGATTTATCATAGCCAGTAGTCTATTGTAGTCACTTGATGGTTATAGAGGTTCCTGATACCACGAATGCGGCCTGCCGCTGGAGCCCGAGACTCTAATGCATGTCCAGCATATGTGGTTTTAGCCAATATCCATCAATAAAACGCATCCTGAAGAGAGCTTTATTATAAACTTCAGCACTTCTACGATATTAACGAGACACTGGTACTGTCTTGTGCTCCTGGGGTATTGAATCCGTTGCGAAGAATGGGAACTGCCGAATGTATTAGAACTGCTTATTCCCTTATTCCCAACAAGCTGAAGAGTCTATTGCAGTCCTCTTCGACAATCAAAGTAAGACCGTATTCATTGTGGTGTCGGAGCTTCCGGTACGGGGCTGGCCAGCTACCCCTCTTTAGGTTTAAAAAAACACTCGATTCAGAAGGCCCCGTCGCTCGGTTGAGTGAAGGCCCCACGACGTCTCTTGGAATGAACAGTTTGTTCAGCAAATACCCCAGGAAGGGGTACGACATAGAGGTCATTGACCTCTATGTCGCCACCCAACACCTTCAGTTATGAACCATTCGTCCTCCTGACGAACATCATTTGAAAGGATAAGGGGAAAAATTTCCAACCTGATGAAAATGAAGATGACTTTGTCAATAGGTAACCTCTACGAAGAACTCTTTCCGTGGCAAGTAACAGAACTGTTGGAGAAGAGCATAGTTGCTGTTACATATCTGCTTGTAGTTCTGATTTTGCTTTACCATGGGGTAGTGACGTAAAAATCCGAAACATATGCACCTTCATAAGAGCATGGAAGGAGGTCGTGCACTTTCGAGTCTGAAGTGTATGTAACAGAATGGTAATAGTTGGAACCTGGAAGTCATCACGAGTTCGGGTCCCCTTATCTGCATTGTCAGCGACCATGAGAGTAGGAATTAGATATTTATTCTCAGGACAGATTTCCGGGCGGTCGATGAACTTGGTTTAGATTTAGACGTTGAAGAAGGTGATCACAACTACGATCTTGGTCTATAAAGTTTCCGACCTCAACATGGAGATATAACTCGTAAATAAAAGCTAGTGAATTACTCACAGTTATTCACCAAAGTTTCGGCCATTTTGGACGCGCAGTTGTCATGTAACAGTCGTATGAGTGAGTTGATGTGAGGTTTTCATGAAAATGGACAAAATCAAGTATCGAGCTGTCATTGAATTTGCAATAAGCCTACGCAAATATGAGTTGAATTCAGTGTATGGGGACGCTGCACCATCATTTACAGTTGACCAGTTGAATTTAAACGTGGTTGTATGTGCTTGGGAAACGATGAACGTTTGAGACGTCCAAAAACTGCAACAACCGACGGAAACATCGCCAAAGTTCACCAAATGATGCTAGGCGAGCGCTGAATCAAAGTGAGAGAGATAGCAGAGGTTATATATATGTAAAAAGAATGTGTTTGTCACATTAAATCAACATTTAGGCATGGGAAAGCTCTTCGTGCGTTGGGTGCCGCGTTTGCTCACATTAGACCAAAAACGTGTTCGAATGAACATTTCCAACGGTCTGTTGTCGCAGTTTAGGCGCAATACATCCTAGTTTTGTTACCGAATAATTACTGTAGATGAAATTTAGATTCACCATTATACGCCCGAAATAAAAATACAGTCCATACAGTGGACTGCAAAGGGGAAACCGGCTCCGTAAAAAACAAAAACTTTATTTTGGTCTGGGAAAGTGATGACGACTATTTTTGGGACTGTCATGAAATTATTCCAATCTATTATTTTTAAAAAAGAAACACCATTACAGAAGCATACTATGCATCATTACTTGACAAGCTGAAGATAAAACTTGCGGAAAAACGTCCACATTTGCTAAAAAAGAAAATCCTCTTTCACCAAGACAACGCACTGTCTCACACATCAGTGGTTGCCACGGCGAAAATCCACAAATTGCGGTTTGAACTGCTTGGCCATCCGCCAAACTCGCCAGATCTTGCCCCAAGCGACTTCTTTTTGGTCCCTCATTGGAGGATAGAGATTTTCATCAAATAAAGAGGCATAATAATCTTCATGAACAATTATTTTGCAGAGAAAAACGCCGAGTACTATTTGGTCGGGTTTCAGAGATGGGAGTATCTCTGGGAATTCCTATGTAGAGATAAAAGCAGACTAATTTAAAAATAAAAAAAAAGAATCTATAAAACTGTCTTGTATCGTTGTCATCACCCTCGTATAATCGAATTGAACCCGTTCAACTATGTGAAAATCGGAAATTTGTCATAATTCATAATTAACAATAGAACAAACACCTCTCCTGACTTAGATATTCAGCAACACTAGAAAAAGGACCATTATTCAAGAACTCTGTTAGATGTGGTTCGAAATGTAATAGGGAAGATTAGGTAACTAAAAAAATAGTTGAATGCTTTTTGGAAATTGCAGACATGGTTTTCCGAACTTCAAAATAGATATGTGATGGAGTCAGCCGATGAAAATTCATTACGTATTCAGTAAAATTTGCACTGAACAGTTTTACAAAAACGCTACACGTGTTTCGCTATACAATAGCTTCTTCAGTCGTGTGCGCGTGTGAAAACTTGACCCCCCCTGTAAATCAGAAAAGGACGTGTAATCGAAAATTTCAAAGAACACGTCAATTTTTATTTTTAGGGGTAATAATTCTGATATGGAAATCATACATCAACTGCCCCCCCTATTTTTTTCAATGTCATGGGGGATCGAGTGATACCTTTGTAATTTTTTTAGAAATTGGTTCATTCGTTATTGAGAAATTAAATGTTGAACGTTTTATTTAAGACAGAAAATTCGCTGTCGTTCATTTTATTGAGGAAATCAACAACAAATAATATCAGTGGAAACGAAGTCAACGGATAAATTGTTCGAAATGAACAGTCTACTTTTTAAAGCGTTCCGTACATTATTCAAGATGTCCGGAGAAAACAATCGGCGTTCCCGAACAATTCTCTGTCGCAGGTCTTCTAGATTTGTAGGATCAGTAGATTACACTTTCGACCAGGTGTTCCCACAGAAAGAAATCCATCATTGTGAGATCAGGAGATCTAGCTGGCCACTCCACTTGACCTCTTCTGTCGATCCCGTCCACATCAAAATGTGGGAATGCTCCATCCTGCTGGAATCTTATTTCATTTTGTACTAAATTGTCATCATTTTCTAAAAGTTGTGTGATCATAGAATCTTCACAGTCTTGTAATAGATTCAGGTATGCGTCTCCATTGAGATTACCTTCAATGATTACCAAGAATGCCGGCCCAGACATTCAAATTTTTGTGGAGTTTGTGAATGTGTTTCCATCACCAAATGAGGATTCACATCGCTGCAGTAACGACAATTATGTCTATTGACTTCACCATTCAACATGAAAGAACTTTCGTCTGAAAAACATGTATTGTATAATAGGCTTGGGTTATTGATCAATTTCTCGCTGAACACCTCAACAAAACTGGAGTCGACGATCAGGATCATCTTTGTTCAATTCCTGAACTAGCCTTGTTTTGAAAGGATGGAATTTGTAGGCTTTCAAAATCTGAAAAACAGTAGTAGCTGATACACCAGACGCTTTAGCTACTTGTCCTAAAACTGCAACTTCAACTCCGTCATTTCTGACAGGACGGAATACTTCATGTTTTCTGTTGTGAATAAAACCTGAAGTTCGAAACTTATCCATTAACTGTAAAATGTATTGATGGCTCACGTGGTGGTCTGGATAATTCGTTTTATAAATCCTTGCAGCATCTTTAGCACATTCATTATTTCGGTAATAGGTTGCAACAATTTCTATTCTTTCTTCAGTAGAATAAAATATGTTGGAACACAGTGAACAAGGATGAATGAATAATTATTCGCGAAGAAGTGACAGTAGCCAACTATCTACTGTTTGTTCAGCGACAACTAAATTCAACAAAAACTGCCAGTGCAGAAAAAACTAACAGTGTCGTCCATTTGAAAACGTTTACTACTAATTAAATAAATTCTACAAATCTAGAAAAACTGCGACAAAGAATTGTTCGGGAAAGCCGATTTCTGACTCCGGACATCTTTAATAATGTAAGGAACGCTCTCGAAAGTGGACTGTATTATTGTATATGGAACTAGATGGAGGTCATTTTGAATACTTTATCCATTGCTTGTGTTGCCATTGATATTACTTTTGTTGATTTCTTCAATTAAACGAGGGACAGCGAATTTTCTGTTTTTTCTTAAATAAAAGGTTCAACATTCAATTTCTCAATAACGAATGAACCAATTTCGAAAAAAATCACAGAAGTAATAGAGGGACGAAAGAGCTTTCAAAGGATGTATCGGGTATGATTTCCATGCCAGAATTATTCCCCCTAGAAATAAAAATTGAGGTGAAATGTTCGATTATACGTCCGTTTCTGACTTACAGGGTGGGTCGTTTTCGTTGGATCGCACTGTATAGATATATGCGCGCACACACGTGCATTAACAATATTCTTATAATGCTAAATAAAATTAAATCTTTGAAATCAACTTTTTTTCCAATATTTCAAGTGAATGTTGGCTATATTGTTGTTGTAACAACATAATGCATACGCAAAGGACATATTTTCCATTAAGAAATGCCCAAAGTAAAGCTCTTCCCAAAGAGCTTTAGAAAATGTAAAAGTGTGGAGTATTTTCGCTCTTAAAGAAAGAACAAACGATAAACTGAAAAATCGGTCTATTCAGCCATAATTCAAATGAATATTTACATCAAATATTGTACTTACATTTGTCAACCAACCTCTCTTCGTTTATGATCGTGAATGCATTTAAACATAACAAAGATGTCTCGAATAGGTTCCACAGAGTGAAAGCCATGATTGATATCAAAAAGATTTGGATTATCCCATAAATATTAGGAACCGATAATTCATGTTGACACTACTATTTGATACTGTCAAACAGAATCAACCTTTTTCTGAAGATGTTTCAAATGATACTGTAATCAGTAATGCCATGATTGACTGAATACATAGGGCGAATATTGATATTGCCAGTTTTCTAGAAAATGAAACGTTGGGCATGAAGAATTCGGCTAACAAGCAGGGCTCTTACTGATACTCGTATTTATTGTTTGACAAGGTTAAATATTGGGTATGTTCCCGATTTGACAAAACTGAAAATTTATAATACATACTTAAGAAATTGAATTTTCATTTAGGAATGATTTTACCCACAAATCATAGTTATTCTTTCCAGAAAATTTCTCCGAATTATGTTGAAAATAAATATTTTGCAATGTCAGATATAGGCCAAACTTGGTAATTTTTCACTGGTTTCACACAGTTACCTCAAAGTAGAAATTGATATTATGCATCACAGAAAATAAAAGTTTGCATCAATGAAATTGTCAAAAAACTTGCGGTTTACCCGACAAAATAGTGAGAGGCATTGAACAACTGATACCACTCTGGCGAACTCGCTTCACCATAACATCTGGTCAAGCCAGAGTCCAAACAGGGTGGGTCACTTTCAGAAGGGGTGTATTTCAAGACAATTCCCTCAGTTCCCTTCTCTTCTGCTTCTGCATCTCACTATTGCTATGCTTGCCGCACTAAGGCAGAAATCTTAGCCGCACAGATGCAGAAGACTGTCATTCTTGGGTCACTGCCAAGAATCCAATGATCACTTACCCCATAATGTGGGAAGTGGTCATTGGTTAATAATGCTGGCGCGCCCTTCCGAATGTATTAGAGCTTAGGAGGATAGGGCCTGACCAGCGCATACTTCGGAATAAAAATACTTATTAAGAAACGGGTAGCTACAGTCCAATTAAAAAAAAACAAACGTAAAAACCTCATATTAACCAAATTGGTTGTATGAGTTGACACCTTTTTTTTCAGAAACTGTAATTTTTTTGGTTTTGTATATTTTGACATATTCGTTAAATTTTGTTTTTCTGTCATAGTAATGATAAATTTTTGGTAGTGTTTGTCTAATTTTGCAGAGAAATGCTATGATACTATATACATACAAACATAATAAGTAATATTGTTATCGATTTTTATTTTAAGGACAAAACACAAGCACTACAGGAAAATCCTTGAGGCGCTCTAAGAGCGGTGCCTGTGCGAAAGTAGAGATTCACATTGGATTTGAATCTCTGGGGATGAAATCCATTTGGAAAAACGGTCTCAGGAAGTTTATTCCACATGAACGCAGTTCTCCAGATGAAAGAGTTCTTAAACAGTGAAGTTCGAGTTGTACTGAGTTGAATCTCAAAACGATGAGCAGCCATTGTCCGTCGCGTATTTCTGATATGTACCGCTCTTGGTGGAATCAAATGTGCCAAGTTACTTGAACACCTCTCGTGAAAGTATCTATAGAAGAGAGACAAATCGCCAACCTTTCTTCGATGTTCCAGGCTATCAAGGTTGCACGTGATGTTCGCGTCTCCAATCAGGCGGATAGCTCTTTTCTGAATGGAATCCAGCTCTGCCACCAGCAACTTGGGGACAGAGCTTCATACATGAGAAAAATACTCCGAAGAAGATCTGATCTGAGCTTTATAAACCATCAAAAGCTGCTGAAGTGTGTACAATTTTCTGGTTCGGAGCTTTTGAGAAGCAGACTTTGCAATTCCAGTGACATGATTGTGCCGAGACATATTGGTGTCCATCTCAACACCCAACAAACTCATCGAAGTAGAAAGCGGAATTGTCTGACCTGACATTATTATATCCGGTTCGGACACATTTACCTTCTTGAAAAAAACCGATGCTTGGGTTTTTGTGACATTGAATTGAACCTGGTTACTTTCACCCCAATTCGAAATCACTTCAAGATCCTCATTAGGATATGCAACCTCCTGCTGCCGGTGAAGATGTGCATCCGCAGCCGATATCCTAGAATCCAAGTGGAATGACGAGACAAGTGTGCTGTCAGCAAAGCTGTGTAATGGATTCTTGGTTTTTTCCAATAAGTCGTTGATATACAATAAAAGTTTCCATTTACTATCAATTTTTGATTTGATCAAGCAATTCAGTGGCAGTACTTTTTTCAATATGTAATTTGAAATGTGTACTCATGAGTTACTGAGTACACATTCGAAAACGGTTGACCCTGCAGGTTATCCTTACAACTTCTCGCTTCTCCGAGATCACTATCAATTGAAGGCGTCGATTTTCCACCGCTTCCCCTTTTTTTGAAAATTTTCAATTTTCTTAACGGTAAGTTGAAAAATTCAACTTTTATTAAAAAAAATAAGGGGCCTCCACTCCTTCCTTGCCCCACGGACCGCATTGTAGGTAAAAAATAGTATCGTACACAAAACGATCCCTTCGTACACGCACCTAATTCAAGGGTTGAATAATTTTTTTCCCAAGGATCAGTATCTAAAATCTTCAAATCGACTTGATTTAGAAAGCACACGTTAAAAGGTAAGACCTCGTTAGTTCTTCGCTCGCTCGTTCGTAGGGGGCATCAGCTGGTTAACGGAAAAATAGATTCCAACAGAAACAGACATTCAAATCACATGGGTTGGTTGAATAAAAATCAGTCTTTAGTTTAACTTTCAAAGTATAAATAAATATTGCGAGAAGAGAAGAAACTATCTTGTTTATATAGTTTACTCCCCTTTTCAAAGCAGATAATTCGTAAGAGCATTTTTTATGTGAATGAATGTTTATCTTTGAATGATTTTCAACATGTGTCTAGTTTGAACAGATTTTATTTAGCTATCACAATGTGATAATGCAATAAGGTTAACTTCTGTTAGTAATTATAATCAGTTAGCATTATGAAGATAAATTAATAATTTGTTTGATTGTAATGTTTCTAAACATATTTTGAGTTATTGACCAATCCAGTTCGGAGACATTTATCTTTTAGGAGAGAACCGATGCCTAGGTTTTTGTGGCATTGAATTGAACCTGGTCATTTTCACTGCAATTCAAAATTACTTCTAGATCCTCATTAAGATATGCAACCATTTGCTGCCCGTGAAGATGTGCATCCGCCGCTGATATCCTGCAATCCAAATGGAATGACGAAACAAGTGTGCTATGCAATAAAAAAAAGGTTGGAGACAAGATAGATCCCTGGAGAACACCAGCGTTGATGGTAAAAGTATTTAAGAGATAACCATCGACGGCCACTTGCAGGGAACGTTCCTTCAGGAAGCTGCAGTGAAATGTTTTAGAAATATCTTGTGCTACAGTTCTTGATTCTCCATGTTTCTCGATTGCGTTATTCCAAATATGGGTGACATACGATAAAAGGTCGCTTGTTGATCTTTGTTTCCGAAAGCCATATTGGTGATTGCTGAAGATATTGAAGTTAAGGATATGGTGGTTTACGGCTTTCTCCATGAGTTTTTATATCACTAATAGCAAAGCGACAAGTCTGCAAGATTTTTCTTGCTCTTTTTGGGAATAGTCTGAAGGCCAGCAATCTTCCAACCAGAAGGAAAAACCCCTTTCTTGTAAGGCAGGTTGAAAAGTCTACAAAATACTGGTGCGAGTTCATTTGCGTATTTTTTAAGTACGATGACGGGCACTTCATCAGGGCCAGACGCCTTGTTGATATTGAGCAGTTTCAGAATTCGCCTGACTAGATGTTGTTGAAAAGTAATTTCCGGCATTGTGGATTCTAGTGTGGGAATAGTGGGTGATGCCTTTCCCAGAAAATCGACTGTGGAGTGGGACGCAAATTGTTCAGCTAGTAGATTTGCTTTTTCTATAGCTGTTGTTGCAATTGAACCACCAGCTTTATGTTAGTGGTGGAATTGTGGATTTTGTAAAGTTCTGAATAACAGCTGTAGCAACCGACCAGAAGGATCTAGACCCGTTGGGATTGGCAAGCAGTTTATCCCTAATTATCTGATTCTGAAGTTCTTTGTGTTCATTTACCCTCAGTTTGCAGCTGTTGCGAGCATTAACAAATCTAGTGCAGCACTGGGATTTTGCGCCACTGCCGGTGGACGAGATTTTTGGAAGCGACAGCTTGCTAGCAATTTTTGTTAAACCAAGGTTTGCCATTAGAAATAGGAATATATACAACCATGGATCCATGAAGATCCTCCCACTCACCAGATCTGTAATGCCAAACTTTAAGCGGCCTTGATTTTTCTCCAGCATTTATCGGCAATTCACTCAATACTGAAAAGAAGATCCCAATGGAGATATTACGGTGACTGTGTAAATTTCTGAATTGATTGTTAGATATAGATCCAGAAGACTGGCATACTTTCCACAACGATCAGGAATCCTGGTTGGCTTATTTATAATCTGCTTCCAGACCTTGTACATTGTTGATATTTGAAACAAACATCTAGCCAGGTGAAATTTCAGAAATGGTCTTGAAGATCCCACTCACCAGATCTGTAGTGCCAAACTTTGAGCGGCCTTGATTTTTCTCCAGCATTTATCGGCAATTCACTCAATACTGAAATGAGTTTCTGATAAGAAGATCCCAATGGAGATATTATGGTTACTGTATAAATTTCTGGATTGATTGTTAGATATAGATCCAGAAGACTGGCATACTTTCCACAACGATCAGGAATTCTGGTTGGCTTATTTATAATCTGCTTCCCGACCTTGTACATTGTTGATATTTGAAAATTTGAGTCATTCGATATTGTGGATATTGGAGTCACCGAATATGGACATTTCCAGCAAGAATTACGGAACAAAACACACTGAGCAACTTAAATCTGTTTAAAATCTGTTTTTCAGTTAACCAGCTGTCGCACCCCTACGAACGACAACCCTCAGAAGTCGAAACTTGTGCGAGCTAAGGATTAACGAGGTCTTACCTTTTAACGTGTGATTCCTAACACGGGTTGGACGATAGCAAGTGAAAATCGATCGTTCAGACTAGGGCTTGAACCAACGACCACCACGGCAGTCAATTCGAGTGAGTGAACAAAGCACCCGCGCAGAACCGCTTGGCTACCGACCGCTTGTAAATGGCACAGTCTTTTACAACTTACCATTCAAGTCAACCTAACAGCATCCATCACAATGCCGGCGATTTTATAAGTAGATCTCACTAACCAACTAACAGGTCTATTGAACTTATTAGTCTGTGAATATTTTATATTTTTTTTTTGTATAATAGTACAGGAAGTTCCTTAACACCAGTACTCCATGTAAATGGAGACATTTTGAAATTTCACATGAACCCAAAGTTCCATGAAATATTTTATTAATTCAATAGAATGAACAAGGGTTTAATGAAATGCAGTTTAAAAAATATATTTATTAATTAACATTGGAATCAAATTGAAAACAAGGAAACATCTTTTTAGATTGGTGATATGAAATATCAATCTTATAAGTAATTCCACCTTGAGTGATTCAGATTGATGAGTAAACAATGACAAAAAATGACCAAATTTTTCATGTGTGAGTGGAACAGTTATTTGTATATTTCTTGTTGAATAAATGTATGTATCTATCTGTGTCGATTCAATCCAATAGAAGTGAATATAGTTCAGTGCAACTAATTTTTGGCAGATCAAAAATAATATTATATTTTATAAATTGAAACTTATATTGGACAAGCACAAGAGTGCCAAAGGTTCCAGTTTTACCATTTTTATTATGAATAATTTAAAAAAAAAAACATTAAATGCAAAACAAGAGTTTAACGTATTACTAAATCCCCAATCTACAAAATTAATAATCCTAAAATAAATACACTCAGCTGAGAGATGACTTCAAAACTATATACAAAACTTATCTTTAACATGTTTATAGGAGTTCTCCTCAGTTATTATATGAATATATACATTATGGAAATCACTAATTGAGTATATTGTACACAGAATACTAGGGCATCAAGACTTGTTCACAAATGCAACAGTAAAAGTTTACTTTAACTGTCTCACCGAAGTATAATAAACAAGTTTCGAAATCTAAAATTTTGAATGAGAGTCTGTAAATGTCAGGTAATGAATATATTCAGTAGAAGTATGAACTAGAACCACCTTGTTCCTGTGAAGTTATAATTAAAAATAGATACAAAAGTAAAAAACACATGGCCAATAAATAGCTCAAATATATAACGGATGAATCTGCTTACAGTTAATCCGTTTTCTACAAGTAGGACAAGTTTTTGAAGTTTTTGCCACTTTCTTAAGACACTCATGGCAGAATATATGTCCACAGAGCGTTGCAGCGGCAACAACATCACCTCCCAAAACCTCTAGACATATTGGACAGGTTGGTTTCTCCTTTTGGGGAGACTTTTCCACAACTTTCTCTTCTGGCTTCTCTTTCTCTACATTTTCCTTGAACTCGTCCAAAATAGCATTCATGCTACCTAGTATTTCTTCAGTTTTGGTTTTGTACTCATCCCAATTTTTATCTGGTTCAGTATCAACTTCTATTGGTTCGTTTCCATCTAAAATTTTATCAACAATGTCCATAAGTTCGTCATTATTTTTTGACTGTTCAACAGTAACTGGTTCATTAGTTAGAGTTGAACCCAGTGAAGAAATTGTATCTTTAATGTCCAATTTTGATGTGGAGGGTTTATCTTCATCAGAGTCTGTCAGGGAATAAAATTCTTTAGATTCTTTTGGAGGCTGTGCCACATTTGATTTAGCTATATCCAGTTCATCATCATCAGAAAGAAGATTTCCAGAATTGAAAAAATTATTTACTTTACTTTCAATATTCTTCAACTGGTTGACTTTTACGTCTTCATCTATAGGCTCACAGTCAAATTCTGAGCTCACAGTCGAAGTAACTGTGGCTGGTGCTTCTGTTTGCTGCTTTCTGCCAGCTCCAGAAGACTTTTTATTACCAGAACTTGACTGCTTGGACTTCTTGGGTGTGCGTTTTTTCGGAATCTTCCGTCTGGATTGTAGAAGATCCTTAAGTATTTCCAACAAGTCGAGATCTTCGTCCGAGGAATTTTCTTCAGAATCTACTCGTAAATTTCTACTTGCTGCAGCGGCTCGACGAGGATTTCTTCTTCTACTCATGTCTAGTTTGATGTTACCTTATCTTATATAAATTTTAAACAATATTTAGTAAATTTATATGAATATACACAGGGCAATCGGTAAAATCACAGTAAAAATATTATTGCAATTGACATTTGACAATTCTCTCTCTCTCTCTTCTTCTTCTTACCTCGACATTGGCCACTTAGGAGGTAAAAATGAAGGCGTCTTTACACCGCAGCCTCCTCGTGTCACCACATGTGCATATCAGGTTGTTACGTATAGTTTGTTGCTAAAAAATCTGGAGATCTTATTATTAAAGTAGAATAAATCAAACTTCATAACAATATATGGATTTCAAGCTCATTGTACATGATTGACAGATTCGACATTCTTGTCTTATAGCGGATTTATGAAACATACCTTCTAAGGCTAAGACTCAGAACTAACAATTCAAGCAAAACAAATCAACGAGAGTGTAAATGAAAACCCGAGTGAAACTAATAACTCTGCTTAAAAAGTTACCCAACTAATAACTTAGAGCATAGGTCAAAACAAAAAACAATATGCCTCAAATTAATAAAAGAGTGTTGAATATTATCTTTAAAATCATCGAATTATAGTAGTATATAGTAGAATATCAAATAAGGAATAATTGTGATTATATGTGATCGACACCCCTGAAAAAGCTATTCATATATCAAGTGTTTCTTGAATATGTGAATTGTGATTATGTTAGCATGTGCATATACGTGACTATTCTCAGATAAAGTCTTAGTTATCAGTTATTAGTTTCAGTTCTTGTTGCATAAACCCACGAATACATCATTTTTATAGAATTGTTAATCATAATGGATTCAAACTGAATGAAAATGGTGGATCTTCTGATCCTGAATATGATAAATTCATGTGACATCGAACTCAAAACGTGACAGGCTCTAATAGAAACTAATGACATATGCAAAACCTAATGAGACCATAAAAGTCTATCAAATCATTTTGTCTTGTAAATGATTTGCATGCACAATGGCAGTTTCATATACTCATTGACATTGGCAAAACTTACCATTTTGATCAAAGGTAGACAACTAAGAAGAAAAATTGTTTCTGCATATCACAGAGGAAAATTCGGGAGAATTCGGCGACATCAAGATTCAAGGTATTGTAATTTGAACATGGGACATAAGAAAAACTTTCAAATATTCATTGTTCCATTCATCTATTAAAATAATAATTTACAAAAATGAAAAAGAAAATTCTCCCTAATGATTAATAAATACAAAAGGTCTCAATCTAGTATAATAATTATTTATCAGAAAATGTGAAGGTAGGAAATACTTCCTCTAAGATTCGAAACTGGCAAAGAAATGAAAAATCACATTCTGAGTCGGTAAATTAATCGACAAATCTACATATCTATTTCTCGACAGAGATGATTTTACTCATACAGTTCATACAATGATGTGTACGTATGTATATAAATGTATATGCACTATGCCTCATGACTAATTAATAAGAAAATATCATAACGATTCATTTTTTATAGGAATGAATCCCTAATCATCTAGTTGAATTGAGGGTGTCCCTTCAAGAAGAACCTGTTTCAAAAATCAGAGGAGAGTATTCAGTAATCACAGAAAAAAGCTGTTACAAAATCCTCAGCTTGGCTTTCAAAAGTAAAAGAGAAGAAGAGATGTAAATAGATTTTCAATTTTGCATTTCGAGATATGTTCCAAAAGAAATGGGGAATGTTACTCCTGACGAAAATCAAGTAGTTTTCATAAAAGAGCTCTAAAACAACGCATTTTAAACTTTTCATTTCAACCTTTCTCTTCAAAAAATTATTTAAATATTCAAAAAAGAGGAATGAAATCATGTATTCAACATTTAAACGGATTCGTTTTTATTTCACCAATTGGCAACATCGGTTATAGCTAATAAAGGACAATGAATCTGTTTCCTGTATGAGACAAACAAAGATGACATATTTCAGAGGCGTACTGTTCTTTTTACTTATGTTCCGAGATATTCTGTGTAACATATGACATTTCGTGCACCTAACCTATCTTCCTCTATATAAATAAATAACAAAACAACTGTTGTTTATGTGGCATGTGGAGGTGATATTGAACTATAATTTATAATTTGCCTTAATTGTTGATTTATAAAGATAATTTTCCTTTTTTAAAGTAGAATATCTAGGTACGTATAAATTATTTCAACTTGATATAGGCACTGTTGCCAATATGTGAATTAGAAACAAATCCCTTCAAAAATTAAAATCCAACATTTGAAACATCAATTTGAATACTTTTCGAAGTGAATTTCAAAAACTCATGAATTAAACTCAACTTTATTTCGTTCAAACTTGCATTTGCTGTAATAACCCAAATTGAGGAACATTCCCCATTAGAAATATGGTTCGGTGTTTCTGAAATTACCACTCAGCTGTGGAACACGGTTTCCTGAAAATTGGTGAACCAAACATCAAAATACAAACCGATGTATTTTGCTGGTAACAATGACAATGGACAGATAATGAAATTGACTAGCTGATATTTCATTTGTCTTGGCCAATGGATTCAGATCCCTTCTTCAACACTTTTGAGAAATATAATGGATAATGAGAAAGTGGCCATCAAAATGTGCCCTTATCCTAGATCAATTAATTAGAAAATGTAGTCACAGTGTATGGTTTCCGGGTTCCACATCAAAAATGATATAGCTATTGCCTTATCATCCATAAAATTGACCATATTCACGTAAAAATGGTTGCGCGTGTGTCGTTATGAATCTTTATGTAATGCAAGTGAAATTCATATTTTTTATTTTCATCAGATAATGAATACTTCAAGTGAAAACAATAAACACGTTGAAACTAATTAATACAGTTCATTGTATGATTTTCACTATAAAGGATTTCACAAAAACCGCAGTTTTTGTAAAACCCTTCATAGTGAAAATATAATAAACTGTATGAATTAGTTTTAATATGGATTTTCAAGTATCGGCCAGTTCTATTCAATTAATACACACGGTAGTAGTTGGAGTTATTGCGTATTACATTGTATGGACAGCACAAAGAATAGTGAATTAGTATTTCAGATTTCAAAAAACTTTGGAAGCTGTTGCTTATTTGAAAGTACCTTTTGATGAGAATACTTTGGATTGTTATAGACACATACGAATGTGAAGTATGCATTTCATTCAAGCATTTGTACAAACTATTTCTGCATTCTGAGTTTGATCGATGAATTGTTCCAGTTACTCGTTCCCTAAACCACTTCAATTTTTTTTCCAGTGACGAAATATTATGATTTTTAGGACACCGAAGGAACTACAAAAAATATGTTGAAATTTCCACATCAGCTTTCACCATTACACTAGTTGTATCTTCACTGCAATAGGTATACGAAAACACAATGAACTTTGCAGGCTTTGAACAGGCAATACCCCAAAATGTGATTTTTTGGATGGGGGTATCCAGATTTTTTAGAATTTTTCTTCGACAATTATTCATTGCACATATTTCAATGCTGCTTCAAAAATAGATTGGTAAACAAACTCTCAAATGAGAAAAATTGTTAAAATGTTAACAGTTTTCTATTTACTTCTTATTAATTTCACAAGATAAAAATCAGTGTTGCCAATCATAAAACGTCAGAAACGTGAATATGGTCAATTTACAGAGCTGTCCTGTTTCAAAAGCATCCAACAATAATATATTTTTCAGAAAACCGCTGTCAAAAATTCTGGTCAGGGAGCGGTCAGGAAGTGACTATGTTATTTTAGAACATATATTGTAAAGAACTATTACAGTATTACAGGATTACAGGATTACAGTTGGTGTCAGTGAGCTTTGAAGTTCTCGCGTACGGTTTTGAATGAAATTGACAGATTGGATATGAGCTGTAGATTTTGTAAACAATTTTTTAGAAGGATAATTAGCAATTAGGTTTCTCAGAAAGTTTTTACAATTCAAAGCTGAAATAATTTATCAATGTCTGCCTCAATAAGTAATTCTATCTTACCGTTCAGTAAGAAAAATGATAAAGAACAAGATGAGGTTGAATGAAACATTTGTTTTATGAAAATAATAGTACAAAGTTTTTTTTCAGAAACTACTGGAACCATTTGATTATATACTTCAAGTACCAGGAAAAAACATAAGGTCCAAACTATCAAGAGCATTCAATCACTGGCTAAATATATCTGAAGAGAAACTAAACCAAATCACTGATATTGTCCAAATTTTACATAATTCTAGTCTTTTGTATGTTCTACTCCCCTAAAATATTTGTGAAAAAAGTTTTTTCCACTAAATATTTCATTATTCATTTACAGGAGATACACATAAATACTTCTCTTTCTCACTCTGTAGCAAACATTCATGTAGCAGGTATTTGTGAGGAATGCTACATAACTTGGGAAATTAATGAATATTGATAAAATTTCTACTTAATGAATAACTCAGAATCTTAAACTGGGTCCACATTTTTAAAAGGAAACTTGGGGTTTCAATTCTTCATCAATACTTGAATTCTTGTGTATTCTTTTTGACACTGACGATGTATAAATCGACAACAACTATTTGTGTCATTGTTCATTTGGATCAATAATGTAAGAAATACTTTTGTCCCATTTTTCAAACAGATCAATGTCTTCTAAATAAACATATTCAATGTTTAAAACAAATATGTTCTATCACAATGACAGTTCAATAATAGAATTATGGGTGACTGACTTCAATAATACAACTTCAAAATGATCTAAATATCTATCCTATCCTTTAAAAGATAGAAAAAAAATAGATTGTTCAGTATCTTCTAGGGAAGCAATTCTTACCACTGATTTCATTTGAAAGAAACCTGGATAATCTACACAAATTTTTTCTAGTGTTTTCATAGATTTTTCCATTTGAAGTTTGTTGTATATTGAGTTGGACAGAGAAAAGCTTCTTTTGAAATTAATACAATTAATTTTCTTTCCAGGTTAGATGATATTCAAGACAATTCGATATTGAGAAGAGGGATACCTGTGGCTCATTCAATCTATGGTGTTGCTAGTACCATAAACACTGCAAATTATACTTCTTTCATTGCTTTGGAGCGAGTAGTAGATTTACAACACCCTGAAGTAAGTGTTATCAAGTAATTTTGACTACGTTCCCTCGAACATACAACATCCGTTGTTATAATAACTGAAGTCATAGCATCCACCATCTGGAAAGTATTTACACGGATCAAGCTTTACACTTCTACTTTTATAAAATCTGTCTCCAATTACCATTGTTGGACACACAAACAGCAACTTTTGATACATTATAAAGCTCAGATCAGACCTTTTTTGTGTATTGTTCTCATGTATGAAGCATACCCTGAAGTTGCTGGTCCCATCCAGAAAAGAGCGATATATATCTGAAAAACGCGACGGACTGTGGCTGCTCATTGTTTTGAGGTTCAACTTAGTACACCTCGAACTTCACTGTTTAAGAACTCTTTCAGTTGGAGAATTGCGTTTATGTAGAATACATTTCCTAAGAATGTTCTTCCAAATGAATTTAATCTCCAGTGATTCAAATCCAATGTGAATCACTAATTTCGCACATGCACCGCTTTTAGAGCGCCGTAAAAAAGTTTGTCATGTACCTCTCGTGTTGGCAGTAATGTTTTCTGGGGACACAAAGTTCAGGTGTAGAAAGGTTAAACTTTTTAGTTCACGCGGCAAGATTTATCATAAAAATAAAAAGTTCTCAATTAACTTGTAGTATTTAAAAATGCCTTTCAAAAGAAATCTAAGAAATTACACAGATACTTAACGTTGCAGAAGCTAAAATATGCCTCCATCTTTAGTATTGGAATGAATTCAATAAATCCTGCAAATTTTAGCCTCCGAAACAACAAAATGAGTATCTGAATCATTTCTTAACTCTTTTTTTTTGATAAGGCAAAATTATTGAATGAGACAACAAGTTACTGATGAATAGAACATGTTTCTTTGTGAAAAATACTTTGAATTTATGCAGTAACTTATCGACGTAAACTAAAAGGTTTACCCTGAATAAAGTTTCCCATTACAATACCAAACAACTTTATAAAACTTGAATTATGGAATAGGAGAAAAGTACATCAGAAAAGACGATATCAGTAAAATGAAGGATCAATCTTGATCATAAGGGACATCAGTCACTTTTGAAAATATTCAACAAAGGCTTATAATTAATGAAATCTTGAATCATTCAATTTTTCAGAACCGACTTCTGACGGTTGCCGTTCATGAGAGGTCGACATTTTAACACACACACACACACATACTTTTTGGTAATTATAACAATGCCGCTTTTTTAACTTTACTGTTGTATTTTAGGCAATACCTATAGCTTTAGAACAAATCCTAGAGTTGTACAGAGGTCAAGGAATGGAAATATATTGGAGAGACAATTTTTCCTGCCCAACTGAACAGGAATATAAACAAATGGTAGTTCGAAGTAATTTTTTTCAGTTCGCTTTATGTACTTTATAATAACACTTACCATTCCAGAAACTGGTGGTCTCTTCATGTTGGCTATAAGATTGATGCAGCTTTTTAGTGAAAATAAAGAAGATTATACCAAAATAACGGCAATATTGGGATTAATATTTCAGATTCGTGATGATTATTTGAATTTAGTGTCTACAGATGTAAGTTGGAAATTATAATGATGTGAGCCACACTTATAAATTCATTTCCTTTTTTGTTTGAGAAATTGTATTGAATTTGTGAATAAAAAAGAATTTCCCAAAATAACGGCAATATTGGGATTAATATTTCAGATTCGTGATGATTATTTGAATTTAGTGTCTACAGATGTAAGTTGGAAATTATAATGATGTAAGCCACACTTATAAATTCATTACCTTTTTTGTTTGAGAAATTGTATCGAATTTGTGAATGAAAAAGAATTTCCCACGAATATTTTTGAATGTAGATGTGGAACATTGACTATGATTCGTCTCATTGAAATATTTTTCAATTTAATTTCAGTATATGCATCATAAGAGCTACTGTGAAGATTTAACGGAAGGAAAATTCAGTTTTCCAATAATTCATGCCATTTCAAGTCAACCACAGGATAAACAGGTTATACGTATCCTTTTTAACAGAGAGAGAGAGAGAGAGAGAAATGTACTTATTGTCCAAAGGCAAAGAACAAATATTATAAATATTCACTTATTTCTGCCCCTAAATGAACTTTAACAAAAAATTGACTGTTTTATGAAAGCATAAAGCTTTGTAGTTTATCCCTACTGTAGTCCAACAACTGTTTGGTATCAAGTGAGCCAATTCTGGAAGATTCTGCCAGAAGTCCATAAATCTTCTTGCCATTTAGGTGGTCAATGTTTGTTTGGCAAAGCCTCCGTTTCTCCGTTTATGATAAGTTAAAGAGCTAATATTGCAACCGATATATATTATTTTGTTTTAATTTCAAGTTTCATGGCAAACTTGACAAAAAGTGAAAAAGGCGTATGATTCTGTTGTTTTTTATTTTAGGATCAAATTCATAGTAACCTTTTGAGTTCATGAAAGATTTGCCAATCAATTAAGCTAGAATACGGGATATTTCATTTAATTTTTTTTTTTTTAATAAATCGAAATGATGTCCAATTGTTTTTCTGTTAGCACCATGTTAATCAGCGGAAAAACACTACTCTTTCCAATTCAGTTTGTACTTCTATAGCAAGATTTTAAAGCAAAGTTTTTACATGCAAAGATATTCATATTTTGAATCAACATTAAACTTTCTATTTACACTCTCCTACATCCTCGGTGTCTTATATAAAATGGTTGTATCATCTACATAAAAGGTGCTGAGACTTGGCAAGTCGTTAACCCATCAAAGCCTGGCGTTACCGCATGGTAACGGAGAATACAGATATTTCCAAGATCATTTATTTTTCAAGTTTCGCCCCTTAAAGTCAGATGGCACTGTAGGTGTCTTCTCAACATATTAGGGATCTCGAACATGTAGAAAAACGTGGAGGGGAGAGCGGAGCGACAGTGCGGAAACAAAGTAGTTTTTATCGGTTGGGTGAAAAGTTTGTAGGCTGACATAGAAAACATTTTTTTTTTTCATAGAATTTGATTTTATCATTCAATTTAGTTACCTTTGAGGGCGATACAACCATTATAGCGATTATACAGTTTTTCGATGCCATTTTTATACCACAATTTGTCTCAAGCCTCAAAATAGGTCTCAGTTTCGACGATTACCTCTTTATTGGCGTTAAATTCCTTTCCATCGAGCATTCTCTTGCGGTCTGAGAACAGGAAAAATTCACTGGGCGCCAGATCTGGAGAATACGGTGGATGCAGAAGCAATTAGAAGCCCAATTCATGCAATTTTGCCATCGTTTTCATTGATTTGTGACACGGTGCACTGTCTTAATGAAACAGCACTTTCTCTTTCTTCAAATGTGTCCGGTTTTTGCTATTTCGCCCTTCAAACGCTCCAATAACGCTATGTAATAGTCGCTGTTGACGGGTTTTTCCTTTTTGAGATAGCCGATGAATATTATACCATTCACGACTCAAAATACTGATACCATCTGCAGCACGTGCGGTCTACTCAGAAGAATGCGGTCTACTCAGAAGAATGCGGCCATTGAATGTTCGCATTGCCCGCGCACAAGAAACACACACAGCGTGGGGAAACCAGAAAATCAGGAATAGCAGAGCATGTTTGGACTCATCAACACATCATCAAGTGGTCCCAAGCTGAGATCATCCACAGGGAGAATCACTAGTTTAAGAGGAAGTTCAAAGAAGCTGCATATATGTTGTCCAACCACGCATTTAGTCAAGCTAGAGTAGATAATACGCAATACATGAAAACTTGTAATCAAGCGGAAAAACGGTCAACTCCCGATAAATGGTCAACTCCCGCTAAAGTGGTGAAGCGGAGAGAGGTAAGTGGGGGATAGGTGAAAGCTCTCGAATGACATATAAATAGTTATCTCTCGGAGGACTAGTCCAGTCATCACTCGAAGACGACTGTGTGTCAAATGTTACCTATAAATGAGACATTGCAGCCTTAATCTTATGAAAATGTCCTAAAAATTAAAAGTAAAAAACTTCGGTCTTGAAGGGTTAATATATAACAGAAAAAAAATCCGGTCTCTTATTGAACCTTGAGGTACACCAAAGTTGATGTGTGTTTCATCAAAGTCACATTATACGCAGTTATATCAACTCCTTAACCGCATTTAAAAGATATTCTTCGCCAGAGAACCAAGGAAGCTGAAGTGAAGAAATATTGCGTCTCTTTACTAGAGAAATATGGTAGCTTCGCATATACTAGGCAAACGTTGAAGGACCTGAACCAAGAGGCGAAGGAAGAAATTGAAAAATTAGGGGGAAATCCATATATGGAACAATTTTTGAGTTCTCTTGCTGAATTGTGATTCTGTTGATAATTTACCAAATATTATTCATCCATTATATATTATGTTATCCAATTACAGTATATATTTTTCACCGAATTCAAAGTTACATTGATGGTTGTCAAAAAAAACTGCCCTGCCCTTTAATCCACCTCAGGATAATGTTATTATCCTGAGGGCACGACAGCAGTAAAGGTAATTGCATTGCCGACTCTTTAGCCAAGGAAGCGGCTGGACTAAGAATTTTAGGACCCAGTGGCACCTACGGCCTGATGACTTCGACAGTTGCGGAACTAGCCAAACATTACACCCATGCTCAATTAAGGATGAAATCAAAGGATGCAATCTTGCCAGGATCACCCTGGGCGACCCTGGAAAGCTGGCGCTGAAGAAATATCTGCCGATGACCAGGAAAAATCTACCCTTAACAGTAGGATTTCTGACTGGCCACTGTCAACTGAGAAAACACCTCCATAATATGGGGCTAGTGGACACACCTCTATGCAGGATGTGTGAACAGAAAGATGAAACTGTCAGGCATGTCCTGTGCGAGTGTTCGAAGTTATCGTCAATAAAAGAGTGTGTGTTCGGCAAGTCTTGACCTACACCTGCCGATATAAAGGAGATGTCTCCCAGTGACCTGTCCACCTTCCTGGAAAGGACAGGATGGACGATGACCTAGGAGGAGGATGACCTAGGAGGAGGATAACCTAGGAGGACAACTCAAGTGCTGTGGGCCTACACTCACCCTCCTGTTA